GGCGATCGCTGTGCCACTTGGGGGCCCTGCGCTGGAGACGGGGGTGCAGCCCCATCGCTGAGTTGGGACTCTAGGCCAGCCCCCTGCTTCTTGCTAACTTAGGGCTCACTTTCGAAAGGTCGGATTCTGGAGCTAGGTGGTCGGGGTGGGGGGCGCCCCTCATTTTCTCTTAGTCTCCCCACTTCCACTTTCCAGGGTCCTGTCCGCCAGGACCCTTACCTCTTTTTTACGTCTATTTTGAGAACTCCTCCAGCAATCCCTACCTGGTGAGACGGATTGAGGAGCTCAACAAGGTGAGTGGAGCGGTGCCCCCTCCCCCCCTCCCCCCGGAGGTCTCTGCCTGCCGAGGTCTCTAACTTCAGTGGGAGAGAGAGAGCGAGCGGCCCGGTCCCCAGGACCCATTCATATTCATTCATTCATTCGTGCGTCAGGAAGGGCTGTTGAGCTCCGTGGGAAAAGTACTTGACTCTCTCCCGGGGGCGGAGGAAAGGGGCTGGGAAGTCTGTCCTTAGACGTGCGCCCTTATTTGTAATTTCTGGGGTTTGGTGCATCCCTGAGAAACTGACTGTTGTTAGTCGTGCCTCTCCGCTTTTCACCGACCGGCTCCCCCCGCCCTTCCCCCGCTTAGACTGCAAATGGGAACGTGGAGGCCAAGGTGGTGTGCCTCTTCCGGCGGAGGGACATCTCCAGCAGCCTCAACAGCCTGGCGGACAGCAATGCCCGTGAGTGTCTCCCCGCCCCCCGTTCCCCACCGTCTGAGGCCTGGGCATGTCCTCGCAGGTGTCTCCCCTGGTAGCATGCCCAAGGCAGGGTGTGAGTTTGGGGGTGGGAAGGGCCTGGTCTGTGGAGGGAGGCCTGTCTTTACACGTTGGGGTTGGGAGCCGGGTAAGGAGAGCCAGACCGTGGCCCGTGTGGGAGTGTGTGTGTGAATGGAGTGTGTTAGAGGGATGGTCTGTGTACTTACTTATTTGTTGTTTTGAGATGGTGGGATGTACATGGGGGTGAGGAGGAGCTCTGGAGGGGCAGGACTCTTCGGGGCATTTGGCTCTGTTGGGACAATGGCTGGTGACCAAGGTCAAGGTGGAGAGGAGGAGATGGTACTTAGAAGCCTGAGTGGTAGGGGAGCAGGCTGGTTCCTGATCAGGGGGTGGCGAGACAGGTGAAGGGACAGGATAGGGAGCAAAGGGAGTTTTCCTGCACTTTTTTCCTCTTTCTCGTCTCCTGTTTTCCCCTTCACTCCGTTTTACACCTTTTCCTTTTCCTCTGTATTCCTTCTCTTTATGCTCTCGTCTTCTTTCAAAAAAAATTTCTTTCAATTTTCTTTATTTCATTTTTCTTTCCTGCTTTGGCTTTCTTTCCCCTACTTGTTCCTCCTTCCCAAATGATTTTCCTTATTTCAGGCTGGTTTGGGCATGAAGGGGTTACAGAGGAGCTGGGCCTAACAAGGTCTCTGGCCTTCTGGGGTTTCCAGCTCCATCTGGCAGGGGCTGACCTTGGCCTTGTCCAATCAGAAGGGGTGTGGGGGGGTGTGGTCCCCTTTCCCTTAGCACAGGGTTTCCGGAGCTCACAGGCGAGGGGTGGAGCCTGTTGCACCCCCCACCTTCTCCCTGTGGTTGGGAACAATGCACCACTGCATCTGGGCCTGTGGCTCTTCTGCCCCCTCCCACTCTGTTGGCACCCCGCCAGGTTAACCCTTTCCACCAAGGTTTCGGGGCAAGTTGCAGCTCCTTGGGGAGGAAGGTGTTGGCACTGGTTGGGATACTGCCCTTGAAAGCCCCACAGACAGACTTAGCCAAGTAGAAAGTGAGGGGCGGTTAGGATTGCGTGTGATGTTTAAAGGCAGAGGCTCCTGAAATCTGAAAAGAGGAAGTGTGCGACGTAACCTGAGGTGATGCTTTTTCACCGTCCTCAGTTTCTGGCCTCAGGCTGGGGTAGCAAGGAGACAGGTGACATTCTTGCCGGCCTGGTGGGGCCGATGTGATGCGTGCTTTCTGGTTGGTGTCTGAGCACGGCACTGGGTGGGATGTGTTTCTGTGGCATGGTTTGTCCTCAGCAGCCCTTTCCCAAGAGCATTAGCGATGGAGAGGTGGGGAGAGCTGGTCTGGGGGGTGTGAGGAAACCCCCCGAGACGAATTGTTTTCCCCGGGCGAGGCTGTTCACGGTGGCTGCTTGCTGGATTAGTTCTGACTTGGTTTCTTCCTCCTTCATCTCCCAGGGGAGTTTGAAGAGGAGTCAAAGCAGCCAGGGGTGTCGGAGCAGCAGCGACATCAACTGAAGCACCGGGAACTTTTTCTTTCTCGGCAGTTTGAGTCCTTGCCAGCCACCCACATCCGGTACGGGACGGTCAGGCTCCTGGCCAGCACGCTCTTTGGGAGACGGAGAGGAGGGTGGTGTGCGGGACGCTTTGGGGTGAGGTGCTCACCCAGCCTCTTCTGACCTCCTGTAGTGGAAAATGCAGCGTGACCCTCTTGAACGAGACAGATATCTTGAGCCAGTATCTGGAAAAGGAGGTGAGAAAGGTGTGGGGAGAAGGGGGGGCATTTCCCCAAGAGGCAAGAGGAAAGGAGGCCTGTGAGGAGGCTGCCAGGCTGCGTGTGTTTCGGGGACTCTGCGGGCATTGGCCCTGCCCTGAGGACTGCTGCCCTGCTCACCTCCCCCTCCAACCCCCCAGGACTGCTTCTTCTACTCCCTGGTGTTTGACCCCGTGCAGAAGACGCTGCTCGCCGACCAGGGGGAGATCCGAGTTGGTTGCAAATTCCAAGCTGAGATCCCAGATCGCCTGGCCGAGGGTAAGCAGCAGGACAGACTGTGGCTGCTGGCTTAGCTGACATGAGAGTCTCTGCGTCGTGTGCCTTGCGCTTGTGCAGTGCCCATCTGCACGCTCGGTGCCGTCACCCTGACAGAATGCAGCCTCCGGAGCTAGAAGGGACAGTGGGCACAGTGGGCAGATAAGTGAGAGTCCGGGTGCCTGATGGACCCCACGGCACCTTAGCTTTCATCTCCTGCTGGGATCTGTCCGCCACCTCCCTTCTCGCTCCCTGATGATGCCGTTGCCCTTTGCTCAGGGGAGTCTGATAACAGGAACCAGCAGAAGATGGAGATGAAGGTCTGGGACCCAGACAACCCTCTCACAGACCGGCAGATCGACCAGTTCCTCGTGGTGGCCCGGTGAGGGTGGGTGGACGGGGAAGAAGGACGGGGAGGTGTGAACGCAGTTCTGCGCCCCCTTCTCAGGGGTGGGCATCCTCGCTTTGGCCTGGGTGTGGTCCTTTTTCCTCGTCTGGCTCAGTTCCCCAGCCCGCTTGCGCTTTCTTTCCCTCCTGACGCCTCGGTTTCCCTCGCAGAGCGGTGGGGACCTTCGCCAGAGCCCTAGATTGTAGCAGCTCCATCCGGCAGCCGAGCCTACACATGAGTGCAGCCGCTGCCTCTCGCGATATCACCCTGGTGAGCAGGCGCTGGTGGGTGGCGGGCAGGCTGGGCTTTGGGACTGCGGGGCCTGGGGCAGGAGGGGGCGGCTCTGAGCGAATGGGAGTGGTTAAAGGGCAGCAGGAGAGCTTGCTGAGGGGCTCGCGTCATCAGCATTGTTTCTTACCTGCCCACAGTTCCATGCGATGGACACGCTGCAGAGGAACGGCTATGACCTGGCCAAGGCCATGTCGACGCTGGTGCCCCAGGGGGGCCCAGTGCTGTGCCGGGACGAGATGGAGGAGTGGTCCGCCTCCGAGGCCATGCTGTTTGAGGAGGCCCTGGAGAAGTACGGGAAGGATTTCAATGATATTCGCCAGGACTTTGTAAGTGGGTGGGGCTCAGGGAGGCGGAAGAGACGGCCGGTGAGGGACCAGGACCTGGGCCCAGCTGCGAGCTCACCCTTGTTCCCTCTCCCTCCTTAGCTGCCCTGGAAGTCACTGGCCAGCATAGTCCAGTTTTATTACATGTGGAAAACCACAGACCGCTACATCCAGCAGGTACGGCCAGGGCCAGGGGGCTGCGCCAGAGGCCTCCTGCTGAGATGCGCTCTGACCCTTCTCTGTCCTTCCTCCTGCAGAAGAGATTGAAAGCAGCGGAAGCAGACAGCAAACTGAAGCAGGTCTACATCCCCACCTAGTGAGTGATGGCGGGCCGCGGCTTCCTCTCCTTTCCCCAAGCTGTGCCGTCCTCGGCGATTAGGGCTGGGCAGGAGGCAGGGCACGTTTATAGGGACAAGGTGGAAACGGATTGTTTTCCTTGAATTCTTTTCTTTTCTCCCCACTCCTGCCCCTATTAGCACCAAACCAAACCCTAACCAGATCATCTCTGTGGGCTCAAAACCTGGCATGAACGGGGCAGGATTCCAGAAGGGCCTGACTTGCGAGAGCTGCCACAGTGAGTGCCAGGGAGGGCCAGGGATGCGGGGGTGGGGAGAGGTCTGCTCTGACGCAAGAACCTGAGGGGCTCAAGTGGCGGCCCCCCCCCCGCCGACCTCCACCTCCTCTCGCTCTTTCAGCCACACAGTCTGCTCAGTGGTACGCCTGGGGCCCGCCCAACATGCAGTGCCGCCTCTGTGCTTCCTGCTGGATCTACTGGAAGAAGTACGGGGGACTGAAGACGCCCACCCAGCTTGAGGGGGCTGCTCGGGGCACAACAGTAAGGACTGATGGGGGCAGGAAGGGCAGAACAGTAGCATATTGGTGTGAACTCAGGTGAAGGCCAGAATACTCAGCTCCATATATGGCGATGGCTTGATGTGTTGGGGAGGGAGGAGCAAGGTGGTGTAGGAGTCAGGAGGTCAGGACGGTGGTAGAGATCATCAGTCAGGACTAAATAGCTCTCTTCGGAGAATGGCAGAAAGGGAGCCTCAGTGTCCATCTGTGTTTTTCTTTTTTCCTATGTCCTTTCAGGAGCCACACTCAAGGGGTCATTTGTCCAGACCCGAAGCCCAAAGTCTCTCCCCCTATACGACCAGCGCCAACCGGGCCAAGCTGCTGGCTAAGAACAGGCAGACGTTCCTGCTCCAGACCACGAAGCTGACCCGTCTTGCCAGACGCATGTGCAGGGACCTGTTACAGCCGAGGAGGGCTGCTCGGCGGCCCTATGCCCCTATCAATGCCAATGCCATCAAGGCAGAGTGTAAGCGGGAGTGCTGAGCTGGTGGCGGTGAGGGTTGCCTGGCCAGAGGCCAGTGTGTCTCTGGGTGTTCAGTGACAGTGGGGATAGTAGGCACAGGGGTTTGTTGCACCTTTTTCTCCAGGCTCCATTCGACTCCCCAAGGCCGCCAAGACTCCACTGAAGATTCACCCTCTGGTGCGGCTGCCCCTAGCAACTATCGTCAAAGATCTGGGTATGTGATGGGGAGCCAGCCTGGGTACAGGGTGGGTACAGGGTGGGGAACCAGTTAGGCTGGTGTTAGGCTCTCAGTCCTTTTACTGTCGAAACCTCCTCTCCCATTCAGGCCTTAGAGATTTAGTCTTAACAAACTGTACTCTTGTAGGTTAATAATATTTTCTCATGAGCTATCCATATGACCATACTGATTTGACAAGATCATACTCCTGTGTGACTTTTGAAATACTGGTTAAGTTTTTGGGGAGTCAAAAGCTATATGGGTGCCCTAGCCGGTGCACTGAAGGGTCCCGGGTTCAATTTCGGTCAGGGGCACATGCCTAGGTTGCAGGCTCGAACCCCAGTGGGGAGTGTGCAGGAGGCAGGCGATCAATGAGTCTCTCTCATTGAAGTTTCTATCTCTTTCTCCCTCTCCATTCCTCTCTGAAATCAATAAAAATATATTTTAAGGAAAAGCTATCTGGGGATTTTTTTTACTGTGTGGGGGATCAGTGCCCCTAACCCCACATTATTTAAGGGTCAACTGTACTGGTAATTGCTTGTCAGACCCTCCCCCACCACTATGCTTAGGGATGCCCAGGGAAACTGCATAGAGAAAAGGAAGTGTGAATGTTATTTGTTTTCTTTTTTTTTTTTTACCTTGAAGTGGCCCAGGCACCTCTGAAACCAAAAACACCTCGGGGTACCAAGACACCCATCAACAGAAACCAGCTGACCCAGAGCCGGGGCCTGGGGGGCATCATGGTGAAACGGGCCTATGAGGCTGTGAGTGACAGGCTGGCGTGGGCCACGCTGAGGGGGCGGGCTTTGGTTTATGACGGGGCTGAGAGAGCCCCCTCACTGTGCTGCCCACCCTTTTCCAGATGGCAGGGGTTCCCTTCTCTGCCAATGGAAGGCCCCTGGCTTCAGGGATTCGCTCAAGCTCCCAGCCAGCAGCCAAGCGTCAGAAACTAAATCCAGCGGATGCCCCCAATCCTGTGGTGTTTGTGGCCACAAAAGATACCAGGTAGGGAGCCCACCATGGGAGGGGGCTGAGATGTTGGCAACCCAGGTTGGTGGCATGGGAAATAGGAGTGTCTGAGCCTGGCCAGCAACAGGGAGCGTGGGTGCAGGCTCGGGGTGCCAGGCAGGAATGGCTGGAGGAATTGCAGTGTGGAGTGTGGGGTTGCAGCGCTGGGGTCGTAGGCTTCTGGATTCCCCTCTCCTCTTCCTGGCCAGGGCCCTTCGGAAAGCTCTGACTCACCTGGAGATGCGGCGAGCTGCCCGCAGGCCCAACTTGCCCCTGAAGGTGAAGCCACCGCTGATGGCAGTGAGGCCCCCCGTCTCTCTGCCTGCACCCTCACATCCTGCCAGCACCAATGAGCCCATTGTCCTGGAGGACTGAACTTCTGGGGAAGGGAAGGGGGGCTGGAAGTTAGAGGGTGGGTGCCCAGTTCACCCAAGTTCCCTTTTCCTGAGTGTCATAGGGAGGGAGGGAGGGAAGGAGGGAGCAAGTGTGTGTCCTTGGAGGGATTGGGCGCCCTCTGGTGTTACCACTTCAAGGCTTGTCTCCTTCCCTTGCTCCTCTTGCCTGGGGATGGAGGCGGACTGCAGGAATTGACCCATGGTGGGAACCTGGCCTCTTCTGGGGGATGGGACCCACAGCTGTCTTGGACAGTTTTAGGGGGAGGGTTTTTTAATTTTTTAAAAATTTTGCCTCCCTTTGTGAAAGGGGACAGGGGAGGGGACGAGTAAACAGACACCTGGTTGGGGGCGGGGGGCGTGCACTGCCATGTTATTCTTTATTTTCTTTTTCCTAATTGGGGGTTTCTCTTCCTGTCCGGTGTCCGGACTTTGCTAAACAGTTTGAGGCTCCTAAGCTGGCATCAAACCCAGCCCATGCTCTCTTTCCTCCCCTCCCCTTGTCCCCTCTGCCTTTTGTACGCCAATTCTCAGAAATAAAGATCTTTTGTCCATTTTTTAAATGTCGATTCTGTAATTGGTTCTTACAGTAACAAATAAAAAGCTGTTTTCTTCAGCTCCTCCTGGCTCAGCTGTTCTCTGCCATGAGTGTGTGGGGGTGTGTCTTCAGTTGGAAAATAAAGGACAAGGAGGTGCAGATGGGGCTTGCCCGGGAGCAGCTCTGTGAGGTGCAGCCGGGGCAGGTGGCCCTCAAACTGCTCCCCAGTTCCCGGTGGTGACCCAGGTTTATTCAGAGCAGTTGGGATGAGCTGGTTCTCTGGATGGGACTCCTCCACAGGACGGGTATGTGTGTGCGAAGATGCTTCTTTATTTCCTAATTCTTAACTCTCCTTTTCCTTTTTCTATGGAATTCTGGGAGTTGTTGGAGGCCAGAGCGAGACAGGTAGCCAACTCCGGGGCGGTACTGCAAGATCTTACCACCTCGCTCTGCTCTATTTGCATAGTGCTGCTTCCTGGGTCCCCAAGGCGGCCTCAGCAGCTGCCTTCATGTCAGGGCCCACTCTAGTGCTCCTGCCCTTTAGGGTTGAGACCGAGGTCGCTAGGCCCAGTAGACGAAGCACCTATCAACTGATGGGTGGTGCCAATCTCTAAACTCGGCTGTGAGGTGACCCTGGGGCCAGGCCACTCCAGCTAGGTAGCTCTGTGCTCTGGGCAGCCTCATGCAAACGAGGACTCCACGTCCTTTCAGTGGGAACGGTCCAAGGCGCCGTCATTGGTGAGGAGCTGCTTTCCAAGGGCTGGTTCAGGTGGCAGGACCGTGTGGTTCTGTGCAGGCTTCTGCCCGAAGTGCAGGTCGTGGGAGAGGCTCCTCCTAGGCTCTGTTTTTTTATTTTTATTTTTTTACTTTTTAAAAAATATATCTTTATTGATTTCAGAGAGGAAGGGAGAGATAGAAACATCAATGATGAGAGAGAATCATTGATCGGCTGCCTCCTGTGCCCTTGACCAGAATCGAACCTGGGATCCTTCAGTCCGCACGCTGACGCTCTATCCACTGAGCCAAACGGGCTGCTGGGGCCCAGTGGTTGAGCATCAACCTATGAACCAGTAGGTCCCCGTTGGATTCCCAGTCAAGGCACATATCCGGGTTGCGGGTTCAATCCCCAGTGTGGAGAGTACAGGAGGCAGTTGATAAATGATTCTCATTGATGTTTCTATCTCTCCCCTCTCCCTCTCTGGAATAAAAAAAGAAAAGAAATATTAAATTTGAGCCCTAGCTGGTTTGGCTCAGTGGATAGAGCATCAACCTGTGCACTGAAGGGTCCCAGGTTAAAAAAAAATAAAAGTTGAGTCCAGCCCTGACCCATGCGCTCAGAGGCTAGAGCACCAGGGCCATGGGTTTGATTCCCGGTCAAGGGCATGCCCGGTGGGGGCACGTGGGGAAGGCAGATGTCTCCCTCCGTCCCTCCCACTCTCTCGGAAAAACAATGGAAAAAATAACCTCAGGTGAGCAAAAACAAATTTGAATCAAGTTAGCCACCAGGAGCCCTTGGTAGGTGTCTTCTTTCTCATGGTCTCCGCACCTCAGGGGAGAGATCAGACGTCTGTCCTGTGCTCCTTGCACACTTCCTTAGAGATGGGCACAGACTCAGCAGTTGTCACTTGCTCAAGGTTGCAGACCTTGAGGCTCTTTCCAGAGGCCACAGCTACGAGCTGACAACCACAGCAAGGGCGGCTTCGCCCATCGACAGTGCTCTAGCTCCTGCTCCCTGGGCCTGGGGCCTCCCCAGCTCCCTCCCGCTCCTGTCCTAAGCTTCCACTTGTAGGTTAGGATGCACTGACCACTCACTAGACTAGTGTGTGTGTGGGGGGGGCGGGAGGGGAAGCGGCGCCTCCTCCTCCGATGCCTTTTACTCAGCTGCCACCAGAGAAGGTTCGGTCCATGCCTTGAGGTGGCTGTGGCTCGGGCCCCACATGAGTGCAGCCCACCTTTGCGGAAGCAAAGCCTTGCTCATCCATCTGGCTGTGGCCCTTCGGAGTCCGGAAGGTGACGGGGTGGGCAGAGCTCCCCAATCAGGGCTGGGAAGCAGGCGCAGAACACCGTTTTGGGGGCGGAACGAGGGCAGAGAGAAACAACAGTCCTGAGGTTGGGAGTCCAGGGACAGCGGTCGGTTTCGTGGAGCTGCTCACCCTCCGCGTTTGTTCTCCAGGAAAACCCAGGGCGGAGGATACAGCCGCGCGGGTCTCTACTGCCCCTCGCAGCAGAGCACAGCCTGCCCACCGCCCCCTGGGAAACAGCGGCTGTCACCCGCGCCCGCCTTTGTGTCTGTCGTTATGAATATTCACGATTCTTTGGGCCAATCAGCACCGGAACAGCTCAGAGTACACCAATCGGCTTACGGCATGCAGATAAGGATCGTGGATGGGGCGGCTTTTCCAAAGCCTTAACACCCGCGGGAAACGGAACCCTGAGTCGAAGGGATCTGGTTTCCGGAGGTGTGCGCCTACACGGTTTGCCGCCTTACGTCACTTCCGATAGGGCTGGCGGAAGTTGCTTTCCAGCGCATTGCGATTTGGAAGCGCGAGCTCCGCTGGTGGCGGAAGTGGTTGCAGTCGGTCGGTACCGGGTAGTCGCGATGGCGGCGGTGGGTTCGGATGTCGAGTCGCTGCCGCGTGGGGCTTTCCGCTGCCGCCTCTGCCACGTCACCACAGCCAACCGTAAGCGGTGGCTAGTGAGGAGGGGTGGTTGTGGGCTCTCGTCTTTGGGTCCTGGCGAAAGTTAGGGTAACAGGTCATCGTTCTTGCCAAGCGTGGATAGGTAGAGTCGCCCACCTCCGTCTTCTCTCCGTCCGGCCCAAGGACTTAGAGTGGGGGAAGCCCCACCACCTTACAGCCTCCTTCCCGCCATCCGAAACCTCCCATTGTACCCCCTCTTTGACCGCCACTTGTTGGACCGCCGCTGTGC